AGGGTCCGTCAGATTGTTGAACCTCAGATTCAGGAGGAGCAACGTGGTTTTCGTCCTGGCCGTGGAACACTGGACCAGCTCTGTTGGGTAAAAAGCTGATTTTCACCTTCACTTTTTAATAGCATTGTTTTTTCAAACAGAGTTCATTAGCCTTAATCACATTTAACGTGGTAAATACAGTATTGGATGATTTTGTCTGGGAACCATCTGGTCCTGCCGCAGGGAAAGTCGACCTTGTGAGTCTGCAGTTCTGTTATCACAACAAGTCTCCCTAGTGAAGTCCAGATGGAGTGTTTCTCTGAACCTGGGAAAGTTTGCTGTCTGTGAAGGGGTGGGTGTGGTCATCTTTATGTGTGTGTGTGCTATGTCATCTGTGAATAAAACCTTTTGATGAGCGCCGGCTTGTTGAGAGATTAAACCGACCTCCCACAGCTGGTGTGTTTCTTTTTTCTCTCCGGTTTTGCACAATCTGATTATTGAATATTTGTGTTTATTGGTAAATGGTATTAATAACAATAATATGTCTAACCCCTTGTGTGTTTTGGACTTTCTTTGAGGTACACCTGGATTGAATAAATAAAAATACCCAACAAGCTCTATACCCTTAGGGGGATCCTGGAGGGTGTGTGGGAATTTGCCCAACCAGTCTACATGTGTTTTGTGGATTTGGAGAAGGCGTTTGACCGCGTCCCTCGGGGGGCCCTGTGGGGGGTACTCCGGGAGTATGGGGTACCAGGCCCTCTGATACGGGCTGTTAGGTCCCTGTATGACCGGTGTCAGAGCTTGGTCCGCATTGCCGGCAGTAAGTCGGGCTCGTTCCCAGAGAGAGTTGGACTCCGCCAAGGCTGCCCTTTGTCACCGATTCTGTTCATAACCTTTATGGACAGGATTTCTAGGTGCAGCCAAGGTGTGGAGGGCATCCGTTTTGGTGGCCTGAGGATCAGGTCTCTGCTTTTTGCAGATGATGTGGTCCCGTTGGCTTCATCAGAACGTGATCTTCAGTTTTCACTGGAGCGGTTCGCAGCCGAGTGTGAAGCAGCTGGGATGAGAATCAGCTCCTCTAAATCTGAGACCATGGTCTTGATTCGGAAAAGGGTAGAATGCCTTCTCCGGGTCAGGGATGAGGTCCTGCCCCAAGTGGAGGAAAGTATCTCGGGGTCTTGTTCACGAGTGAGGGGAAACTGGAGCGTGAGATCGATAGGCGGATTGGTGCTGCATCTGCAGTGATGCGGGTCTTGTACCGGTCTGTCGTGGTGAAGAGAGAGCTGAGTCAGAGGGCGAAGCTCTCGATTTACCGGTCGATCTACGTTCCTACCCTCACCTATGGTCACGAGCTTTGGGTAGTGACCGAAAGAACGAGATCACGGATACAAGCGGCCAAAATGAGTTTCCTCCGGAGGGTGGCTGGGCTCTCCCTTAGAGATAGGGTGAGAAGCTCGGTCATTCGGGAGGGGATCGGAGTAGACCCGCTGCTCCTCCACATTGAGAGGAGCCAGTTGAGGTGGCTCGGGCATCTGGTCAGGATGCCTCCTGGATGCCTCCCTGGTGAGGTTTTCCGGGCACGTCCAACCGGGAGGAGACCTAAAGGTAGACCCAGGACACAGTGGAGGGACTATGTCTCTCACCTGGCCAGGGAACACCTTGGGATTCCCCCGGAGGAGCTGGCCCAAGTGGCTGGGGAGAGGGAAGTCTGGGCCTCTCGCCTTAGGCTGCTGCCCCCACGACCCGACTCCGGATAAGCGGATTAAAATGGATGGATGGATGGATGGATGGATGGGTCTGTTAAATAGTAAAATTTCAGGTGGAAATCTCAGGAATTTATTTCCCAGAAGAGGCGGAGCTCTGATTGGACAAATGTCCTGCACTAATAAAACAGAGTGACATTTTATTAATAATTACATGAGTTATAATCATGTTTTTTTTCGTAATAGTTTTATGTTTATGAAATTCTTTCCACACACTCCCTCTCACGTGACACAATCTCAGCAGTTTTATTCTTGACGTTTCAGGACCTTCCAAAATGAGCCGTTTCAGGGCTCTTTGGCTTGAAAGAAAACCAGTTGTTGCTGACCACGCCCACCTAACCCCTGGTTGGCTGCTGTAAGGTAAGGAGCTTGAATAGGAGTCGAGAAACAGAGGACCCCATGTACGGTTGGCTAATTGTAACCCTGGAACTGAATAAGCAGAAAATACAAACTGAACGGAAAACACACAGAACACCAGAGACTCGACAGCTCACAGAAAAATGCCAAATATTTATTCTTGCAGAAATAATCTGATAATTCTACAGGAAGTGCCACAATGTGAACAGGAAGCGCTACATGCAGCTAGCCACTGCTGCTTTATTTAACCCTTTAAGTGCAAAAGACGCAATATTGCGACAAGCATCATTGCTGACTTTAAGGAGCCACATCTACAAATATGATCCCTCACGAAGTTACTACTTTATACCAAGAGATAGTGGAGATGTGTAACTTCAAGCTGAGCAGCATTTATGGGTATGTTTATATTGAAAGTTTCAGAGTTTTTAGCGCTTGAAAGCCAGTTTACACTATTGGTTTGCCCTGCTTGTTGAAATTGGAAACTGCGCTGATCCTGTTACGTTTGGAACAGGGCTGGAACAAATGAACCAGTGTGGCTAACCCAAGAAGCTAAGAAGGGCTCCTTGGACCAGGGTATCCCACCCGTACAGCAGACTGGCTCCCGTGCGAGGCTGTAGTCATGATGGTTGCCTGTGGAGATCTATTATGGGCCGGGACTGTTAAATTACAAGCAGAGCCTCAGACCGCTGCAATCGTAGGTCTTTTGCATCGACTCATGTTCCACGGTCGGAGATCAGCGGGACATTAGCAACACGCTAACCTGAAGCTAACGGAGGTTTTCCGCTTTTTCCGAAAGAAAAATGCAGTAGAGCGACTCCAAAGTACCTCTGGCCTGCTTAGTAACAAAATGATAACTAGGTAAGCTGACCGAGGACATCGGGCTTCTCTGGTCCACTGCGGTCAAAGATCCACAAGTCCGCTGGCGAGAGCCGAGTCCACAACGGTGGACACGTGGCTCTTTGACCACGGTGGACATGTGGCTCTTTGACCACGGTGGACCAGTGGCTCGACAGCCTCTGCTATCCTCGGTCACATCTTTAGCTCTAGTTGTTTTCTTTTTTACCCAGCAGCCACACCAACCCGTTATATTTGGACCCATCGTAGACCAAGCAGTGTTTTGTTAAACACACAGAATTTCCCTCATTCAAGCTATTAGCAAGAAAAATGTGGTTGGGCGACTCAAAAGTGAAGCAGCGTCATTAAGAAGAGCTGCGGTGTTTCTGTGGTCTCCCTCAGAGATCCACCAATGACCAGCATGACTACAGTCTCACATCGGAGCCGGACCGGCTGACTCGGGAAACGGGAACAGCCAGCCGCCTGCTCCAGCAACTGTTCCCAGGTAGGAGAGAGGAGTGTGTTATGGAGCTCCACTAACATGTTTGACCAAGCAGTTAAATGACACAGCATTTACCCCATTCAACCAGCGAAATAAAGCGCAGAAATATAAAGTTACTTACTGATAAAAACTGCTTGGATGATCTGTTAGTAATTACAGCTTGCCTTTTTGTCCAACTAATTCCATGATTAACATCCAAACACAAACACACAGACAAATCTAAAGTTCTGAGTCAAAATGGTCGAACATCTACTAACGTGAGGCCGAGGTCTTTCTCCGGAGCTAGTTTTGAAGTCACGTGGCTCTGATGCTCATTAATTATTCAGAATTTTAAGCATTAAATTCTATTTGAACAGAAGAGTTGAAAAAAAATTCACCCCCGTCAGACTAGTGAAATCAAATCAAAATCAATTCAAAGATACTTTATTAATCCCAGAGGGAAATTAGAGTTTCAGTACACACAATTCAGAGATCAGACATACATGGGCAAGACACATGACAAGAATTGGTGACTGTGGTCATTTGTAACCCTGAGTCGTGCTACCTTAATAGAGATAAGAGGGTAACATGAGGATTGGTTCAGGTGGAGGAAAAAAGGCACTTCAGCGTTACCCTCCCACCAGGAGGGCAGCTTTGCTCTGCAAAAAGCACCTCAGACAGAAATGCAACAGACTTCAGACATTACACAACATAAGTGTCCACTAGGTGGGGTGGTGGGTTGGGACTATCCCACTTCAGTTCCTGCAGCCACGATAAGCAGCGCATGACACCTCAGTGTGGATAGGGGGAGGAGCATTGAGGGTTGGAGGGTTGGAGTGACCCTGGACGCTTCAGCGACCTTCCCGCAGTCCCGCCCAGGCTGGGAAAGGAGGCAGAGTTGGGTTGCCATAGCAATGGCACATTTCACATATCTTCTGAGGGGGGAGTTTTCGTTGGAGCCTTGCAGGCGCAATGGCGCCATGAATGTAAACTAGATCTGTTAAACCTAAAATGGTTTTTTGAACCAGACAGCTGTGAAATGGGCATTTTCAAAATGGGAGTCAATGAGGATTTGCTCACTTCTGCCGCCAGCCCCTAGTGGATTAGAGTGAAACTGCAATTTTTGGTTTTATTGTGCTCTTTCATTGGCCAAGAGTCCCCTTGAGTTTCCAGGTCTTACCTGGGTATTATTGGACTTTTTATTGTGTATTTTAGACATTTTAAATTTTCTTTTATATTCATACTTTGTCTCTGTTTTATCTATTTTATCATGTTTTTGTTTTATTGTTCCTGTTGTACTGTGCTATAGAAATAAAGATGATGATGATAAATCTGTTTCTACAAACTGAGACCTTTCAATAAACTATCTAATGCACTCGTTGTTCATAATTGTCCCATAGAACCAGTTTAAAAATATTGGAGGGCAACTCCGTCTCCATGTTGTAACCGAAAATTCTATAACATGATGCCAGAGACCGTGAACTTCAGTTGGGATTATTACAATCACAGATTAAACATCTGTACCTGAGATGCTCAGATGTTAAAACACATTCGGATCAGTTCAAAAGGAAAATTCGACTCACCGTAAACTGTGAGATTGTAGGACTTTATGAAAACTCGTCCTGTTTTAGACTCGATGGTATAAACTCCTGAGTCGGTCTTCTGCAGGTCTGTGATCGTAAACAGTCCAGAGTTTCTATCCCACTGAACTCTATTCAGGTAAACGTCCAATCCAAATGGAGAAACGGAAGCAATGATTGGTTTATCATGTGAAAGAAATCCTCTCTCAGGTACAGGATCGGGTAAAGTGATGCTTCCTCCGACGACTCCACTCAGGGTATTGTTCACGTCTTCAGCAGCAGATAAAACCATCAGCATCACTGTGGATTATAAACAGGAACAACCGTCAGACCAAACCTGATGAAATATATAAATTAGTCTCAGTTTATGTCATTAGAGTCCAGCATCAGGTGTGTAAGAAATAAACATGGCAAAGCTTTTACTACCATGTTAAGGGGTTGTTTTAGATGTGACACCAGAGCCTGACCACTTCCTGCCTGCGGAGTGTGTCTTTCTGAGAGAAACTTATATTTATGTTAATTCTCTAGTTTTTTGTCTCCTGTTGACACAACTTTACTGTGGGTTGGTGATCTCCACCTGGTTTATGTTAACTGTGACCATTGACATTGCTAAAGCATGTTAATTTAAGGCCGCTAATGCTAGTACTAGCAGCTAACACCGGAACAGTGCTGTGTTTTCCAACACCACCTGAATGCACCAGGAATTTTTCATCTGGTGTCACTGAAACATTCAGGAAATATGACTGAATCTGAGCTGCTGGATGTTTTTCTTTACAACACTAGTGTTATGTTTAATTACCAGCCACAACTACATCATAACCTTCAATGTTCACAAATAATAAGGTCATTTCTACACAAAACAGCTATTTTGTGAGTGGAAATGTTTGTGCAGAATAACCTGGCTGTAAAATCATTAAAACATTGAAAAAAACATTTTTGTTTTGTTTGATCAGAAAACGGGAGACCAGACTGTTGCATTACGGTCTTTCCTAAACTTCAGAGCAAGTCACTCCCTACCAGAGTATTACTCTGCTCCCACTTCCTGTTTGAAAAATACAACAAATGCTGTTGCCTAGCAGACCGAGAGGGCGGAGCCACTAACAAATACACACACAGGCTCACAACGACATTGTGACATCATATGGTACCAGCTAACGTTCTAGGGTACCTCTTTCTCTTCTTCTTTCTTTCGGTCTTTATTTTGGTTTACAGCATTAACATTTTCTTTTCAAACAAAACAACAATATTAACAACTTGAATTTAAACCAAAAAAGGAATAGGCAGAAGCAATGCTTATTTTAGCCTACCCTATTTTCCACCTAAGATACATAACCAATATACATTTCTTTTATTTTCCCCAATATAAATAACCACAATGAAAATTAATTAATGTCTATACATACTTTTCATACCCTGTTAATATGTGACACTTTACACCTGCTTTAAACTTTAGTAAAGAAGTACATTTCTTCAAATCATCGTCTAACTCATTCCACAATTTCACACCAACAACAACGGAAACACATCTTGATTTCACATTAGTTCTGGCTTTTACACATTCAAACATAAATACACCTCTGAGATTATAATGATCATCTCTTGGTTTGAAATAAACTTTTATGCAATTTGGGATATTATTATTAACTACTTTATGAAGAATCTCTAAGATTTTTATAATATCTCCTAATTTTAGCGTTTTAGTTTGACTAAATAGATTATGGGATGGTTCGAGGTATCCCAATTTATTAACTATTCTAATCGCCTTTTTTTGTAATTTAAATACAGTCTCAACACACGTTTTACCTGCATTTCCCCAAACCTCTGCACAGTAAGACAAATAAGGCATAAATAAAGAGCTATAAATCAAAAACAAGGCTTTTTTATTTAGTACATCACTAGTTTTATAAAGTATAGCAATAGATTTAGACACTTGCCATTTGATATATTCGATATGTGGTTTCCAACTGAGTTTACTATCAATAATCACACCGAGGAATTTAGTTTCATATACTTGTTCAATTGGGACTCCATTTAAATACAGCTTAGCACCGTCATTGTCCCTGTTCCCTGAAAATATCATAAATTTGGTTTTATTTTCATTTAGTGATAGCTTGTTGTAATCAAACCATTTTTTAACTGAACCCAATTCCCAACCTCTTAGCCAATAGCGATGGCAGATTTAAATTCAAATGCAGTGTAGAGTTTTTACCTGACAACGGTACAACACTGACAGTTTTAGGCAGAAAATTTAAATTTTAACTAAAATGCACTGAAGTGCAAAACTATTGACTACACGTGTCTGCAGCACGATTAGACACGCATTTATATAGTTTATCAGAAAACAAGTTGTTTTGGGGGTGACTTGCTCTTTAACGACTGAATGTGTGTAGGTATATTCATGTGTGTATGTATAAATATGTATGTATGTTTATGTGTATATGTAGTGGATACGTGTGTATGTCTATATGTATATGTATATATGAAGTATGTGCAACCATATGGGCGTGCAATGCACTTTAATGTATATATGTATGAATAGGTATATGTGCAAAAATCCTTTTGCTTTTTGAATTATTACTTCTATTAATTTTGTCCTTTTTCTTTACAAATTGAACTCTAGTTAGCTAACCAGTCAAGCAATTATAATTATTGTTATTTCAGTGTATAAATGTCATTTTAGCTAAAAAGGGGCAGATAACATAAGTTTTCTTCTTTCTGTTCCCTTTTCATTTTCTTGGTTTGAGAAACCTCATTTTATTGTTAGTATTGTATTTTTTTCTATTTTAAAGAGCAAGTCACCCCCAGATCACATTTTTTTTGCTGATAAACTATATAAAGGAGTGTCTAATCATGCTACAGACACGTGTCATCAATAATTTGGCAGTTCAGTGCATCTTGGTTAAAATTCAAATATTCTGCCTAAAACGGTCAGTGTTGCGCCGTCGTCAGGGAAAAATTCTGCACTGTATTTGAATTTAAATCTGCCACCGCTATTGGCTAAGAGGTATGCTATGATGTCATCTGGTATATTATGATGTCATAATGCCATTGTGAGCCTGTGTGTGTGTATTTGTTAGCGGCTCCGCCCTCTCGGTCTGCCAAGCAACAGCATTTGTTGCATTTTTCAAACATGAAGTGGGAGTGAAGTAAGTTTCTTGTAGGGGTTGACTTGCTCTTTAATAATAAATGAAATAAATAATTAAAAAAATAAATGTAGAACCTCAGCTTTTTTCTGTTAACTCTAACTGTAACCTTAATGTAAAGGCCTTTTTCTAACAGCAGTAAATAATTCGTATGGAATAAATACAATTTAAATGATCATAAAACAGTTTTTACTGTAAAACAATCACAACATGATATTTTTACCACATCGATCACCCTGAGTCCAGAAAAAGTTTAATAAAGGAGAATCTGAACAGACTGAAACCAAACAAATTATAACTTAAAAAACAAACAAAAATATAGTAAAGATACAAACAAACAAACAAACCAACAAACAAACAAACAAACAAACCAACAGGAGAGGAAATATTTCACAATAAAACAGAAAACATGAGGAGATCAATCCAGAGTTATCTCTGTAGTTATGCTGCTATAGGCTTAGACTGCTGGAGGACACACTGACCACTTCTCACACTCTACTGCTTTCTTCTACAATCTGCTCTTTAACTGTATTATTTCCTGCTATTTCAGCTGTTAACTTTATTTTCTCTCTAAGTGTTTTTCTCCCCAGAAGAAGCTACAACGATGTTCTGCTGAGCTGTGGTGGCCTCATGGAGGGGGCCATCGTCTAGCACACTGCTGCTAACCACTTAAACATTCTCCCTCTCCTGATAATAACTTTTTGTTTCCTTGACGTTGGATGTGCTACTACTAGTTTACCCGTTTAATTATAGATCCACTAGGATAAATACAATAAAGTTTATCTCTCACCAAATAGAATATTTACTAAGACATCACAATATAACTATAGACACATTATTGTGTGTGTGTGTGTGTGTGTGTGTGTGTGTGTGCGTGCGTGCGTGTGTGTGTGTGCGTGCGTGTGTGTGTGTGTGTGAGTCGTGGAGGATGGCTGCTTATACTGAGCCAGGATTCTCTGGAGGTTTATTCCTGTTAAAAGGGAGTTTTCCTCTCCACTGTCGCTACATGCTTGCTTAGTATGAAGATTGTTGTATAGTCACTGACACTTGTCAGTGACTTGATGCAGTTTGCTGGGTTCCTTATATAGGAAACATTATTTCTGATTGGCTTAATGACCTGACCTGTACTGGAATGTTTATTATGTGAAGCGCCTCGAGACGACTCTTGTCGTGATTTGACGCTTTATAAATAAACTTGAATTGAACTGAACTCTGGCTTTAGGATAAAAAGCTGTAAATCAAATAAAATACTGGAAGCTTCTTTACTTTCACTTTTATTTCAAACCCAACAGGAAACCTCCATCTAATTTGTTTTCCGAGTCACACAAACGGATCAAACTGACACACAGTTGTTCTTGTTTTTTTGTTATTGTTCAAACACAAAACAACCTTATGTTTTTATTCTGATGCAGAAACACGAAGAATTAAAGGCTCTCGCTAAAAGTTTTCTTTTATTCTAAAGAAACTTGATAAGAAACTGGATATTTATTTCCCTATTTTAATTAGTATCAGATTTTTAAAATATGAGTTTATAGTTTCAGTTTCCACCTTGACCATGTTTACCATTATTCCCACTGGAATTTCAGATGAATGGCATTCAATTAAAACAGAAATTTCTCTGAAACAGGAGCTAAAAACACTCCAAGCAACCAGAATGCTGAAGTTGCAGCTGGTGCTGTTTAAATACAAATGTAGATTTTTTTTCTTGCAACAGTTAAAAAAAAGGAGTTCATAAAGCTTTATTTATAACATTTTCACATTTTTCATTTTATGCTTCAGGAAGACTAACGAGTAGTTAAAGGGTTAAATCAGCAGCTCAGTCATCAGACTTGTAAACGTGTCAGAACGACACTCGACTGATGATGAAAACATGAATTTAGTGGTTTAGTAACGACACCAACAGCTGTTGGAGGTTTTAAACGATGGGATAACAGAGAAATTGTTTAATGTTCCTTTAAGAGCACCTTTGACGTTATCATACTCGCAGGTACACAATACCCTACGGTCTTCAGCAAAGTGCACTTGAAGGAAGTGTGCAGTAAGGTTTCGAGTGCGTGGTGCACAAGTGTGCAAAGAATTGCTGAATTGAGACAGCATTGCGTAATAAACCACAATGCATGCAAAACCTTTATTAACAACTGTTAAACAAACAACCAAACAATTATTTGAAATACATTTAATTAATTGCTGCTTCGTCTAAAAGTTTCAGAGCATCATGTAATCATCCTAAAATTAACTTCTTTCATTAGAAAATACATATTTTCAAAAATATCCAGCAGCAACGGATTGTGGGTAATACCCTTCAGAAGTGAAGTGCGGATCAAGGGTGGCCCAATCCCAACACTCGTACTTGTACCCTTGCGCCCTTCAAATGCGTGTTCCCGGCCAGGGTGCGAGTGCGAAGGGTGTCCTGGTTCTCAAGTGCGGAAGTTGACCACGCCCCCATTGCACCCTTAATCTGCACTTCACCCAAGTCCGCAGCGATGCGCACCTCGAGCGAGGGTATTACCCACAAGTCACTGCTGCAGGAGAAAAGGCTCAAGTTCCTTTTCTGAAAATATGTATTTTGTAATGAAATGAGTTCCTTTTAGGACGATTAGTTGATGCTCTGAATTTTTTAGACAAAGCAGCAATGAAGACAATTTTATTTCAAATAATTGCTTTGTTGTCTGTTTGAAAGTTGTTAATAAAGGTTTTTGAAAAAAGTTTCACAGCGACCAGCATCCCGGCATGCGTTGCGATCGATGACGCAACGCGCTCAAACCCTACTGCGCACGTTCTCCAAGTGCACTTTGCTGAAGACCGCAGTGCGAATATTGGGATTGGGCAGGTGGAAAAAGGGCGTGATCAACTTCCGCACTGGACAATCGGGACACATCACACACTCGCACCCCTGGTCGGGATTTCACGATTGTGTGGAAGTGCGAGTGTTGGGATTGGACCTCAGTGAGCTTTCAGTTTTTCTGGCTCTCGGACTCAGACCTAGATTTGAGGGTTTGAGTTCAGCTTGTTCTGGTTTTAAGCTTCAGGAACGTCTCGGAGAGGAAAACAGGAGATACCATCTGAAGCTGTTAATGTGGACGGAACTTCTCCCAACCCCACAGGAAACTCTTATTTGTTCCTGCCTGGAGATCAGAGAACTTGGACCAGACTTTAGCTGAATCCACACCAAGGCTCCAGACTCTGGAGGGTCCAGAAACAGAGATGAGAGTAAACACATCAGGGACTTTCCTCGGAGCTTTTCCTTTCACACTTTTGATCAGGGGGATTTTAGTTTCTTTTCCCAAACCAAATTTCCCCTCGGATCCTTCCTCTGATGGACAGGGCTGGTGGACTGGAGAACCGTCGATGTGAGACCTGTTCAGGTTTAATGAGCGTTGCTGCTTTGTTTCTGCTGTAGCTGCTAACGGGACCATGCAACAGCTTCATGGGTCTGCATCAGCAGCGACCAGAGGACTGGTCTTGATTACCGGACCAGAACCAAACGTCAGGACGAGCTCGGCTGCATGACAGAGTATAGTCAAAATATAGGTACAGTGGGTATCAGAGTACTTTTGAGTACAAGTAAAGAACCATTGTATCAGACCAATAGGAGGCTGTAGTTACCAGTATAAAGACAGAGGACAGCTGCTACGGAAGCCCAGAGAGGACCATAGAGAAGTATCTCTGGATGCAGCAGTTAGTGTGTGGAGGGGTGGGAGTCATAGTCAACAAATGCAGAGGAGTTTGTTGACACCAGCACCCTGATTCTTGTTCTGACCACTAGAACATTCTGTCCTTCAGAGAGCCTGAGGGACTGTAAATAAGGGAGTATTTTCAGTTAAACACTGTTATCACTGATGCTTGTTTATCAGATGAGGTCAGGTTTGTTTACTGGTGGCTGTGGGCCCACAAACAGACCAGATAAAACACTCAAATGCCCAGAGAGTCGACAAGCCTTTAAAAACAAACAAACAAACAATAAATAAATAAAACTAGGGGTTATTATTTATTTTGCTTTTGGTTATATTCTATTTTTATATAAGCTTGAAATATAATTTTTTCCAATGATGTCATCATTTTTTCTCTGATCTGAATCTGATGTTTACTTTTCTTGATTTAGATATAAATAAGAATCTGCAGCTTTTAAAGTAAAATCTACTTGAATTGATCTAATGTTGACGATTAATTTGAAAACTTAGAGCTAATAAAACAAAAAGTGTCATGACTCCCATCCTTCACCCTTCTCTGCCTCCTCATTTAACCTTCATTCAGCTCACCTGGTCCCTTCACCAAGCTCCTGACAAGCCCTGTTTCCCCTGGCAACCACCATCAACTCCATTCATCTCACCTGCTCCTGACTCCTCAGCTCATCACACACACCTGCTTCCCCTGCTATAAATGAACCATCCTGCTATCCAGTCTGCCAGATTATTGAGAGCTCACGCCAGTAAATTCTCCAGCACTCCTTACATCTGCCTGCATCATAGATCCTGACCTTGTTCCTGTAGCTCTACCTGCCCACGTGCCTGCTCCCTGCTCCCTGCCTGGATTGTTCTGCTTCTGACCCCCTGGATTCTCGACCGTCGGACCATTCTCTGTATTCTGCCTCCTGCCTGCCCCTTGTAGCATTCACGGATCTCTCTGGTTTTGACCCATGCTTCCTCCTGACCCTGCCTCAGCCTCGCCCACCTCTGGTTACTCCACATAAAATAAAGACTTTTAAAGGTGCTTTACAGTGTCTGGTGTCATTACGGGTCCTTCTGAGTTCTGTTCGTGACAAAAGGCATCACCTTTAATTGATCGATAGTTTGTTTACTGAGTTTAGTATGGTTTGTTAGAATTGCATATTTTTCCAGTTCTCAGAGAATCTATATTTCTATTTAGATCAGTTAAACTTTAATGTGTTGAACTCTATAAATGCAGCTGGAATTGTCAAAATTTTCTTGTCTTTCTGCTGGAAACTCAAAATTAAACTGGGAATCAAACTTGATTCATTTAAAAATGATTTATTCCGTTTTCTTCACACTTTTAAAAATCTTCATTTAGGTTTTAGTGATTTCTGATCATGTTTTGAAGGCAGGTATAAGCGGACTAAGATGATCTAGCTTTATTCTAAGATGTTCTTCAGGAGAACAACACCTCAGAGCTTTGACCACTTATCAGGGTTTATGTCAGACAGTTTGACTGCTAAAGCAGATGTGGTTTTGGACTAATTCCATGTTACCTGAGTACTAAATTAATCAGCGTGGCTCAGGTGTGTTCCTACCTGGCCAGCAGACTGAAGCCCATTAATGAAATGAAGGTAACATATCTTCATTTTAAACGTGTAGACTCGAGCTAATTTAACCATCTGTGTTAACTTCTTTATGGTGATAAAGGATAACGGGTAATAAAAATCACATTTATGTTTAATTTCGCTCTCTCTGAAATAAACAAACACCCTAATTTAAATGAAGTTTAGACATAAACTCTGCAGCTCCGACAGGTTTCAGATGAAGAATGTCTTTACTCACCAGTCAGCCAGGAAACGGTTCTGATCCACATCTTTATCCGTTAACGACAAACTAACATCCTAGCGGTGGCTGAATTTCAATATTTTCCCAATAAAATAAAAATTTCCTAATAAAATGTTCCCGTTAAGGAGCAGCAGCTCGTCACCTGCCCAGACTCTCGGTTTTCTCCCAACTGGCAGAATAAGAAAATGACGGGAAACAAAACCAAAGCTTTTGTTGCATTTTGTTAAAGTAAAAAACAGCAGAGCTAACCAAACATGAATTACCAGCAAATCAATAAAAGCGCCTCGTTGTTCAGCTTCAGCCAAGCCCCCCCCGCAACGGAGCTCTAAAATTTGGTCCCAACCCGGAAGTGCCAAAAATTGCAGTTCCACCCTCATCCACTAGGGGCTGGTGTCAGAAGCGAGCAAATCCTCATTGACTCCCATGTTAAAAATACCAATTTCACAGCTGAAATAAACATGTTTACAGCCTGGTACCAGAACATGTTTTTGGTTTAAATGATCTAGTTTACACTCATGACAACTCTGAGGGGGTGAATTTTTTTCTCACTCTTCTGTTTAAGTGTATTAAAAGCCTAAAATTCTGTATAATTAATGAGCATCAGACCCACGTGACCATAGAACTAGCTCCGTGGAAAGACCTCAGTAGAGCCCATCAACATTAATATATGGACAATGGGTTTCCATAGACTCCAGTAACAAGTTTGTGTGCTAAAATAGGAGGTGGCCACCACCGCCATTTTGACCGTGTCACAGGTTCCGTCAAGCCCAGACAATTCCATAAAAGGGAAGAGAGGAGGAGCTGAGGGTGGGGCTGTGAGGCTGGGATCGACTGACGACACCCAGTCGAACTAGCTACAAGCTAACCCAAAGCTAATGCGGAGGTGGGAGCTAAGCTAACGGAGGTAGCAACCTAGCTACAACCGGAGTTAACTGTGCACAACACCAGAGTTTCTGAGTCAGAGATACGCCGGGCTGACCGCTGGGTAAAACCGGGTGGAACACAGAGGTCTCCGAGACCTCCACAAGCCGGCAGCTGCACAGCAGACAAGTGCCGCTGCGCAGAGCTGCCGCTGGCGAGAACCGGGTGAAAAGGTTTCCATCCCAGAGCTCCACAAGCCGTCAGCCCGCCACATATATATATATATGTCGTATATATGTCGATGACCGAGCTGCGGGGAGAAGTGGCGTATTTTGGCGGTTCTGGCTTGCCATAAGAACCAGCCGTCAACCTGCCGCAGCACACAGAAGCCGCAATCAGACAGATGCGCTGAGCAGCTGGGAGAACCAGCCGGCATTCCGGGTGGAAAACATCGGTCTCCCGAGAGCTCCACAAGCCGATAGTGGGAACCCAGCTCCACCAACGTGTTATAAAGTGCAGCATTATGTTAAATGCATTGGGTTTTACCCTATTACATTTAGATTTCATGGTTAAACAGTACATGTTAAAATCTAAGCTCAGCTCGGCAGTGACCTAAAATACATAAATATAATTTTACTTACCGAAAAAAATGAAGTGGAGACTCCTTGGACGCTCTATTAGTGCAATTAATGCCACAGCAAGTCATTTTGTCCAACAATTGCACAAAAAATATCCAAACAAGAATACACACACACAGAGACTCAAAATCCCAGAGCAGTTTCCAGGCCAGACCGAGGCTCTACTGAGGCCTTTCCACGGAGCTAGCTCTATGGTCACGTGGGTCTGATGCTCATTAATTATACAGAATTTTAGGCTTTTAATACACTTAAACAGAAGAGTGAGAAAAACATTCACCCCCCTCAGAGTTGTCATGAGTGTAAACTAGATCATTTAAACCTAAAACATGTTTTGGTACCAGGCTGTAAACATATTTATTTCTGCTGTGAAATTGGTATTTTTAACATGGGAGTCAATGAGGATTTGCTCGCTTCTGACACCAGCCCCTAGTGGATGAGAGTGGAACTGCAATGTTTCTTACTTCCGGGTTGGGACCAATTTTAAAGCTGCATTGTGGGGGCTTGGTAGAGCCTCGGTCTGGCCTGGAAACTGCTCCGGGATTTTGAGTCTCTGTGTGTGTGTATTCTTGTTTGGATATTTTTTGTGCAATTGTTGGACAAAATGACTTGCTGTGGCATTAATTGCACTAATAGAGCGTCCCAGGAGTCTACACTTCATTGTTTTCGGTAAGTAAAATTATATTTATGTATTTTAGGTCACTGCCGAGCTGAGCTTAGATTTTAACATGTACTGTTTAACCATGAAATGTAAATGTAATAGGGTAAAACCCAGTGCATTTAACATAATGCTGCACTTTAGAAAATGGGTTGAAATATAACATGTTGGTGGAGCTGGGTTCCCACTATCGGCTTGTGGAGCTCTCGGGAGACCGATGTTTTCCACCCGTTTCTCCCCTGGCTTCGCGGCTTCTGTTTGCTGCGCGGAATGCCGGCTGGGTCTCCCGGCAGCTCGGCGCATCTCTGTCTGCTGCGCGGGTTGCCGGCTTGTGGCGCTCTGGGATGGAAACCTTTCCACCCAGTTCTCCCCAGCGGCAGCTCTGCGCATCTCTGATCGCAGCGGCGCTTGTCTGCTGTGCGGCTGCCGGCTTGTGGAGCTTTCCGAGACCTCTGTGTTCCACCCGGTTCTCCCCAGCGATCAGCCCGGCGTATCTCTGACTCCGAAGGTTGCTACCTCCGTTAGCTTAGCTCCCACCTCTGCGTTAGCTTTGAGGTTAGCTTGTTCGACCGGGTGTCGTCAGTTGATCCCAGCCTTACAGCCCCACCCTCAGCTCCTCCTCTCTTCCCTTTTGTTGAATTGTCTGGGCTTGACGAAACCTGTGACACGGTCAAAATGGTGGTGGTGGCCACCTCCCATTTGGCCTCAAAAACGTGATATTGGAGCCTATGGAAAGGAGATGTCCAGTATATTAATGTCGATGGCTTCAGCCCACAGCTTCATGTGTCAGGTCGAGAAGTAACGTGATGTTCGTGAACGAATCAAATCTTTTGAACGAGTTTTCAGAGTGAACCACGTAGGGAGCCGTTCATCTCGTCTCCCAGTAATGACCCCCGGTTTTTCCTAAAGAGGGAATCAGTTTTACTTTTACTGTCTGAACGTTTTCTTTTGGAATGAGCTCTGGGCCGTCGGTTTGGGATGTTCAGGGAATTTCCAAGTAATCTGATCTTCCTGCTGAAGCCGAGGTCATCGGTTTGGGGTGAGATGGACTGATGCAGTAAACATCAGAACAGAGCTGAAGGACCAGAAATGTCTCCTACTGCAGAAACCTTTCAGATCCTGTTTGAGTGAATAAATGATTATAATTGATTTAAGACACTTTCTGTTCTGATTGATATCTGACTTCCTGCATCTCTTTTGTTTCCTTTTATCTGATCATGTTCAGCTCCTCCTGCAGGTTCTCCAGGAGGGTCCAACACTTGTCCTGCATGTTTGTGTCCCCTGAAGCACCTGCTCAGCAGAAGCCTTTTAACTCCTGATGCATTTTATTGATCCTCCATCAGATTTAAAAAACTGGAGAATTTTTATGAATGTTTTGATATTTGTGGATAGTCGTGAACCTGAAACATGTTTAGTTCTTGTTTCCTCATGAACAACTGAACTGAACAGAAAAAAAATGTAATAAATTTTTTTAAATCCCCAAAAAGAAGCTGTTTGAATAAAGAATTACTTTTTAAATGTTATGTCATATTTTAAAAATAACATTCCCAGACATGAAACTACTTCAGCTTTAATTTAGTAAAAGTGTGAAGATAGAAGAATGAGCTGCCAGCTGATGTAAAACAGGCCAAGTCATTAGAAACCTTTAAAGGAAGACTGAAAACACATCTGTTCTCGCTGGCTTTTGGACGTTGAAGTTGGGGGAAGTAGGCCGGATATGGACTGTGAACTGGCACTCAGGTTTTTGTACTGTATTTTAAAGTGGATTTCTTATTGTGTTTTTATAGGATTTATTACGGTATTTTACAGGGATTTTTTAGTGTATTTTAATGGATTTATTAATGTATTTTAATGGTCATATCTCTGCCCTATTGTGTGGCATTTTATTGATGTACAGCGCTTTGTTTGTCCATTCTGGCCATGTGAAAGCGCTCTATCAATAAAGTTGATTTGATTTGATTTGATTTGAGGATAGTAGCTTGTGTTGTCATGGAGATGAAGGAGTTAAAAGCAACAGAAGCATCTTTTGATCTTTCTTTCTTTATTGAGCATGTAAATCAATAGACAGCTCCCAGCTCACCAACAATAGACAATTACAATCAAATGCAACACCCTTACAACTTTTCCTCCTCCATGTAATTGATTAGTATAATTTTGTTATACTTATCTTTAAACTTATGCAATGAGGGACTTTGCTTTAGATCCCCACTTAGCTCATACCAAACTCTTACTCCCGTAACAGAAATACAAAATGACTTTAATGTTGTTCTGAAATATGCCTAAAGTTAAGTTTGTATCTGAAATTATACACGTTATCTGGTTTTATGAATAGCATTAATAATGTGTTTGGTAATAATTTCCTGTGCACTTTAAACATGAACGTCGATGTATATAGTTGAAGTAAGTCTTTTAATTTTAGTATTTTAGAATATATAAATAACGGATGAGTGTGTTCTCTAAATCAACATTGTGAACGACTCTCAGGGCTCTTTTCTGTATGATAGACAAGGGTACAATAGATGTTTTATAAGTGTTACCCCATACCTCTACACAGTAAATAAGATAGGGATAAATCAATGAATAATAAAGGACATGGAGTGATTTATAATCCAAGTACTGCCGAGCTTTATTCATAATGTAGATGTTTCTCGCAACCTTATTAAATACGTTTAATTTGCGGTTTCCAACTTAATTTATTATCAATTATTATTCCAAGGAACTTATGTTGTGTTACTTGCTCAATTTCACATCCATCTATTTGCAGCTTAACCTCAGTTTTATTAGCCATACCAAACAGCATACATTGTGTTTTTGCTATATTTAATGTAAGCTTATTTTCAATAAACCACTCTTTAATGACGCACATTTCAATTTGGACCATCCTTTCTAAGTCGCTGATATTATCTCCTGCACAGAAAATAGTGGTATCATCGGCAAACAAAACAAATGTCAGTGTATTTGTTACATTACTCAAATCATTAATATATGATAACAATAATTTTGGACCCAACACAGACCCCTGTGGTACTCCACAAACAATGTCCAACCATGAAGATGAACATTCTCCAAACTTCACGAACTGTCTCCTCTGTTGTAGATAGCTTGTCAACCAGCTCAACACTACACTCCTAATCCCATACCTCTCTACCTCATCTTCTGCAGCTCCATCAGTCTGCTGGGTGTTAAAACCACAGAACTTCCTGTTTTACTCAACCGGTGACGTGAGCCAGCAGCGTTGTGTCGCTTGTATCTGACCACACTGTGACCTACATGAAGACACTCTCAGAACAAGTGTGAGCCCACCACATGCCTTCAGAAGCTGGCCTCGGTTTGCCTCAGACCCGCCACAGATAGAAGCTTCTCACGCTCAGATAAACACCAGACCTCCACCCTTCCTAACAGCTAATAACAATAATAATAACAGCTTCTGCACCAGGGCCACTCCTCAGATTATCCAGAATTCACCTCACCCAGTTCTTCTGGAGGAGGACGTGTCTCATCTTGTTCTAAAATTTACTTTGCAAAAAAAAAAAAAAACTCAAACACAACTGAAGTTCCCAAAAGGCAGCCGATTTAAGGTGAACTGGAGATCAATATATTCTTAGATTTGAAGGAACAGTTAGATGTTTCTGTTAAAATGTTAAAAAAATAAAAATTGTACCTGCAGCAGGTAGCTTCAGTGAACGTGTGTGAATGGATGAACGACTGACTTTAGTGTTATTGGTCATTTATCAGTTTGGAGAAAAGAGTTTATTTTAATCAGAGTGACAGGCTAACGGCTAGTCTGAATGGTGCCAATAACAAATGATTTTTAATCTGGAAAAACAACTTCATTTATTTGTCTCAAACTACGGCCACCAGATTCAGTTCGAAGCAGCTTCACAACCTTTAAACACCTCGCCGTAAAATAAAAGCATTTTCTAAAAGTGTCAAGCCTCCAGAAGATCCCAGTTTCACAGATTAGTACTTTAATAACATGAACGATTCAAAACAGATACTGACCTGTACATATATTTACATGATAAATCTGCTAAAATAACAATGAAAAATTACACTTATGTGAACTTAAAGATGCAGAATTTGCAGAAAAAAATAGGAATTACTTTAAGATTGACTCAATTGTGGAAAATCTCTGTTTCTCCAAACTGAGGCCGTTCAGAGAGTTACCTTCAATCGAGATCAAAGATATTTTAAGGATTTATTGTGTTTTTTCAGAATATCCCTTTAAAAGCAATGCACTGTCCCTTTAAGGACGAGGAGCCAACCATTAGCTTTAGATGCTAACACTCAGAAGCTAGTTAGGTTTGTTGCTTTGATCAAACATCAGAAACATCAGTTCAGTCCGATGAAGATGAGATGAAATGAAGAATGGAAACAAATGCAGAACTTTGTGTGAGAAAATGACACGAAGAGCTGCATAAATCTGGGTCCTGACCCAGATCTCAGCTGCTGGACTTCCTCCTGCAGACGGTTTGAGTTTAAGGCTGCAGAAACAACTGAGACAAGCTTTAATCTGAAACATGCAAATCTCTGCCTCCTCTGCATTTGCATCTCATTTGTTTGAACTTCTTCCTGCGTTGGCTGCAGAACAAAAATGTCTGAAAGTCCCACCTGTCTCCTCTGTGTCCACATCTGCAGAACAACATTACAACTCAACAAACATGCGCTGGATCATTATCCACGTTGTTTTATGGAGTGTGCACGTGAGAAAACAGGAACTGAGACAGAAACCATAAATCCTCTGAACAAATACAAGCTGTTGCATGTGAACAGAACCACAATAGCACTTCTCCGCTCTCCTCTCTAACAAGATCAAGATTTTCAGTTTGGATTCTCTAAAAAAAAAAACAACAACAACATGAAAGCCAACAAGAACGGTTTGAATGACATCATCAGAGCTGGAAATCATCTGTGTGGAGTGTGGTCATAATGTTATGGCTCAACACTGTTCATGTAGTATCTTAACTGCTTTTAACAGTTAGCTGTTAGTTTGGCTTCTACTACTCGTATTTTATCGTCCATCGTAAGGTTTCATTGGTTTTGTTGGTACTTTTATTGTTGGCTGTATTTTATAGTACTGTTTTGTTTTTTTATCTCTATTATTGTGCTACTGTGCAGCACTTTGGTCAGCCGTACGGCTGTGTTTCTAAAGTGCTACATAAATAAAGGTGGTATGGTAAACCAGACTCATGTGAAGTCTACAGACGCTTCCCAGAGGAGAACCGATCTGATCTGAGTGGTTCGAGTCTGAAACGGGAGATTTTCTGCTAAGATTTTGTCCTCCATGCAGCTAAAGAACATCCCTCAGAGGAACGAGATGTTTTCAGAACATTAGGGTTGAGTTTCAGCTCCTGCAGCAGGTCTGTCAGCTGCTTCCTTCCATCATAAACTTTACCAGAAGTTCTCTGAGGAACTGGGAGTCTGAAAGGAGGAAGGTGGAGCTCCAAATGCTCAAGATGAACTTTTGAGCAAAATGTTGTTTACTTTAAAAACCCATAAAGTAGTTGAATGTTGAGAACGATCAGGTACCGGCAGGGGCGTAGCACCAAATTCTGGGCCCTAGGTACAAGTCTTCTAGGTGGGCCCCCATGCTCAATTACTTAATATCTCTCTTACACATTTTTTGCCATGCTAGAAGACAAGATAATAAATATGATCTTAGTTTAACCTCTATATTGAGCAAATACAAATGCCAGCATAATAAAAGTGAAATGCCCAGACTTCACATATAATTATTTTTATTTGCCAACAATGTGTTCAAACAAAAATCCTGGAATTTATTTTCCAGTAAATGCCCACTGATGGGTCTTCATGTTAGCAAAATCACTTATGAGATCTTTAAAGTCCAATCCTTTGGCTAATTGGCTTTCAATAGAAAAAAGATCTAGGATGTTCAGTCTATCCTGGGACATTGTTGATCTCAGATAATTTTTCACCAGTTTCAGTTTGCTAAAAGCCCGTTCACCCCCAGCAACAGTCACAGGTAGTGTGCAAAATATCCTCAGTCCAATACAAACTTCTCCAAAAATGCTCTGTAATTGCATCCTGTAGATGGCATTAAGCAGCTCAAGAGGAGACCGAATGTGTGGAAATGTGGCACCATATATTGTTCTCAGGTGTAGCATCTCATTCCCAAATTCAGCTGTGAGATCCTTGTAATATTTTCTCATCAGTGCCTGGCATGATGTCTTCATCTGCTCTTCAGTCATGTCTGTCATGGTTCCTGATGTTAAGCTTTGCTGATACTGATATATATTGATATATTAAATACATATGACATGAAATAAACCAGGTTCTCTCTGTGAATGTAATGTACTCTAAATTTTATAACCCCTGCATTATCAGCCAAATTATAAGATTGTCCGTTTTCAAGATCAAATATAAAGAAATTAAAAATAGGCTTAAAATATCTAACCAAGTCAATAACAATCCTCTAACACCAGTGTCGTCATGCTATACGAAAAACAGTGGCAGCTTCTCATTCCTGAGATTACCACGAATCCATCGATACCAAGTTTGTCCTGGTCCATGACTGGGAAGGAGCTGAAATGTCCACACAGAGTGAACCTGTTTTTACTGCGAGGTCCGCCAATTAATTGGCGGCGGCCGCCCGCGATAATAATTCTGATTAATATATATATATAAATTAATTAGTGTTTTCACTGATAACACTAATTAATTAATATATATATTAATTAATTAGTGTTTTCACTGATAACACTAATTAATTTATATTTGATCTTGATGGTGAAACTAAAGGCATTTAACACTGAACACCTAACATGAATGCAGCTTCTGAGAGCTAGCTAATATCAGCTAAAACTGTGTTCTGCTGCTGCTGCTCACCTTCCTTCTTGAAAAACCTAGTCCATACTTGCTTCTGTTCAATTAACTTTTCCTCCTTCTTTTATTTCTGGAAGCCAGATTTCCCTTTCTTGGGAAAAGACATGACTGACTCTCCTGCCTCCAGCTCTGGCTGTCGGCATCTGCGATGTCTCATAGCTGTACATGCGGCCGTGCAGCCCTGGCCGCTGGTGTGGACTAAACCACTTTGCACATTTTTAAGGGGTGATGGATGCCTCAGAGATTATTCAGTTAGAATTTTTAAGGCGAAATTCTGTTTCTTAACCTCTTTATCCAGGTAAAGGGAAGTTTATTAAGACATTAAGTAAGTTGGGGGGAAAAAACAACAACAATAAAACATTTTTATTCAAAGCCTTCTCAGGGCCCCTCCCTGCAGTGGGCCCTGGGTAAACGGTACCCTTCCCCCCCAGTCCGACGCCCCTGGGTACCGGTGGACCACACACTGAGCTGCTCTGGTGTTAGTGACTGTGGAGAACCTCCTCATGAGCTTCTGTAGTCCACAGTGGTGCAGATCTTTGCTGCTGATGTTCTGGTTCTCCTGCATCAAACATGTCATCAGCTTCACCCAGCTGTGATCAGAACCACAAGATCCAACATCAGGTTTCATCTCCAGACAAATCGAGGTTCTGATCACTGATTTTCCACCTTTAGGATTTGATCCATTTTCAGTTTATTGTTTCTGCTTAAGAGCTCCACCCCCCCCCCCCCCCCCCCCACCACCACCAAACAGCCGATTAAAGCAACTTCAGGCCTGAATCACGAAGGTCCGGATGTGAGCTGACCGAGTCTCGGAGCTTCCTGCAGGCTGTTTCCTGATTCCGTAACACGAGAGGAAAGCTGCTGAACAACTGATTCCAGCGTTCTGCTTCCTGTCATCTCAGAATGAGTGATCATAACCCTAACCCTACAGAAACAGAAGATGATGATAATTTCTATAATTCGTCCTGTAATTACAGTGTTGACCAGTTTACACACACACACACACACACACACACACACACACACACACACACACACACACACACACACACACACCTCTGCTGTTGGCACAATGTTCATGCAGAAAATGTCTTGTTCTCACAAGGAACACACAGTTATATAAATGTGCACACTGACTCATCACAAGGGCAAACACCCGTCACAGTTTTACAATCAGCAATCAGAGCTTTAGCATAAAAGGGCAACAGGTGAGCTCTTCTGTGTTGGAGCAATGGATGCCAACATTGGAAACAGAGGCAGAGCCAGAGGAGTGAGAGGACGAGGACGAGGAAGACCAAGGACCGTAATCTCTGATGAGATCCGAGCCACTTTGGTTGATCATGTGGTCAACCATGGTCTTACAATGAGGGAGGCTGGACAAAGAGTGCAGCCAAACTAGAGCAGGTACACTGTGGCATCCATCATCCGGACCTTCCGGAATGAGAATAGGTAAAAAATCTTCTCTCACTATAAAATGGCAGTACTGCATATCAACACAATCAGTATTCAGGGAGTATACAGTAGTATTGCCTGTGGATGGTTTTGATGGACAGTAAAAATACTGTAAAGTATGTTTCCAGTATTTAGGAAATGTTTACCTACTTTGTATTCACAGTATTTTACTATTTGTTTGGCAGAACTGAAAGATTACCGACACGAGGAAGTCGGGAACGTCTTCTGTCTCCTGAACAGGAAGCTGAGATCCTCAACATGGTGCTGGACAACAATGCCATAACATTACAACAAATACAAAGAAATTATAGAAAACAACGACATGTTTCTAAATATTGATAGTCAGCTTAGCAACTCTGGACCGTGTCTGGGCCGAAATCATCTCAGGATGAAGCAGCTCTACAGGCTGCCATTTGAACGAAACTCAGAAAGAGTCAAAGAACTGTGATATAACTGTGTGCAAGTGAGTCCCGCAACTGATGCATACACTCACCACTGTGTACAGTAAATTATACATATTGTAATCATAATGACTGTGCTTCACAATAGTGACCACTCCATGTTTATTTCTGATGCTGTCATGTGTGTTTCAGAGAGTCCCTGAGCTAGAGACAGCTGCAGTGGAGCACCAGCTCATCTTCATTGATGAGGTTGGGTTCAACCTCACAAAAAGACGAAGGAGGGGAAGGAATATCATTGGCCAGCGTGCCGTTGTTGAAGTCCCTGGCTAGCGCGGAGGGAACATCACAATGTGTGCAGCGCTTGGCTACCACGGCATCATCCATCACCATGCTACCCTTGGCCCCTACAACTCCGCCCATCTGATCACATTCCTGGACACCCTACACAACACACTCATCCCACCAGACCAGGTAGATGGTCCAGAACAGCCCAGGTATGTTGTCATTCGGGACAACGTAAGTTTCCACAGGGCTGCTGTGGTTCATAACCGGTTCAATCCCATTGAGGAATTTTTTCTGCCTGGAGATGGAAGGTGTATGACCGACAGTCACAAACCCGTATACCTCTTCTCCAAGCTATGGAGGACGCGTGTGGAGATATAGCAGCTGATTATTTCATGGCTGGAATCGCCATGCTAGGAGATATTTCCCCCGCTGCTTGGCCAGGGACAACGTTGCTGGTGATGTGGATGAGGCGCTGTGGTCAGACCGCAACAGAAGAGAGGATGCAGCATAGTTTTATTGTTTTACTGTAACTGTACACAGTCAATTCTTCTGTTGGATGTAGTGTATGTGTGCAACTTTGTGTTGGTGGCGAATGGGATGAACATTGTGTACAATGTTTTGTGGGAAAAATAAAGTAATTTCTACCATGTGTTTGTGTGTTCAGAGTGTAAAAACAACATTCTGAAATAACCACACATGCATGTATTTACTGTCTGTAGTACAGTAGGTGTAACACTGATCCAAAACAGCGTTAGTCATTATGATGAATGGAGAAGACGTGTTTTCCATTCATCATAGTGTTAAACATTGAGCACGAGTGTTCTGCTGGTTCTTATAAATGTCTGTTCATACGATCGTTTGTGTGTCATTTGACAACAAAATCACATTTTGAGGAGCAATAACATGTTTTGAATGTGAAGTTTAATTTTGCAGGTGAGGGGGTTTTTGCCCCAGTGTGTGTGTATTTTTTGGATTTGTGGGAAGAGTTCTGAGAATATGAGGCATGCTTTCAGGAAATGTGTGTAAACAATTGAGAAAAACTGTAAAACTGCTCTCTTTTCCATTCTTACATACTAAAAACACTACACAGACACCCAAGCACTGTTCGGATGCATCCAAACTGGGCAACTACACTCACTGAGACATAACCATGTCTCGTTACACCAAGTACAGAACATCTCGTACAACAAGCACCGCTGGGATGCATTCTAGCAGGGCACCTGCACCCACAAAGATATCCTCATGTCTCATTGCACACACACATTTCAAAGATCTCCCCCTTCTCCCCCTCCTGAGCACAACACACAACAACACACTCCTGCAATGTCTGGACTTCAGTGAGACTGTGAACCTGAGTTTATGTTTTACGTAACAAACACAGGAGCCTTCACCTTAAACCAGCTGCAGACAAAGAGGAGTTCCTTGTGTTGAAAGGAAAAAGGAACTAAAAAACCCGACAGCGTGAGCGAGCAGAGACGGGAATGCCTGGTTCCTCTGAGTCTGTTAAACCGTCCTCCCTGAGCTAATATTGAGTTTGCAGTAAAAGCTTGTCAGGATGCCAACCAGGATAATAAGTACAGAGACTCATCTGTGAGTGAGTGGGGTCCTTTATCAGGTCTTTAACTCTTAAAAGCTGTAAACATGAAATAATAGTGAAAAAAAAAAACATAAAAACATGAAAAGATGTTTTATTTGATCACGTTTTTATATTGAAGTGTCTGCATGATGGTGCAGCTGGTCTGGTCTGAGCAAGGTTTGAATCCCAGCTGCAGCGTGCACGGTGAAAACACCACACAGAAATGTTGCCCGTGGGAATTGAACCAGCAACGTTGTTGATTCTTCATGTCCTGGACCTGAGACAGAAAACCAGAGGAGACGGCAGAGGAAACGTATCTGTCAGAGCTCTAAAGATGAGACCACAAGAGGACACGATGAGAGGATGAGGACATCTAGTGGACGGATGCTGATCAGCATCTGAGCTACAGGTTGGTGTCAGAGAAAAGGCTCTGTAGGTGCAACAGATCTAATCTACTAATCTGCTAATCTCTTCAGCAGGAAGCCTCGGAATAATTGTTATATTCAGAAAAAGTATCAAATGAAAAAATTCCAGGGGAAAAAAATGAGAAATGGAGGAAAACAAAGCAGGTGGTTTGTCCTTTTTGAGTTTCATGTGTTCCTGAAGAGGACAAATTTAACAGGGAGCATAAGCCACGCCCATCTACTTCTGCTCCACGTGTCCCTTACTGCCCAAAAAACTATGTGTCAATGTAAGACAACAACCTGTTTCACTGATCTGATGCTGCAGAAACAAAACACTGCAGCATGAATGTAGAACTTTCCACCATGATGGATGGATACTGTGGTTTAAACGAAGAGTTTTCTCAGACACTAAAGCCATCCAAAACCAGAGCATCATGGTGAAACTTGTGTGGGAAGCTGTTCTGTGAACATGCAGCTGAAAACCAACCCGCAGAAGGATGTCTGCAAACCGACCACAACAACACAGATATGCTGTGCTTTTTATTTTTTTTACCGTGTCCTGTCTGGCTGTGAAGCAAACAGAATTGATGTCTGAATGCTGGTGACAAGCCTTACAGATTTACTCTCAGGTGGAGCATCAAAGCGTCTGCTTTTAATGTCACGCCTGATACTTAAAACTTTATTGTTGTTGTTTTTGAATGCTTTTTAATTCCGACCAGACACGGAGTCAGAGGTGAAAGAGAAAGGAAAAGACAAAAGGTTTGTGTGTGTGTGTGTGTGTGGTGGGGGGGTTCCACAAAAATAAACAATAATGAACAAGAGTCTGCTTCTAGACCTGCAGAAAGAGAGAAGAAAGAAAACAAAAACAAATAACAAACAAAAATAAAATGGGACACAACAACAATACATCAGGAGCAAGCTATCACTGCGTAAACTTGATGAAGAAATATATAATCAACATTGTTTAACTGAACAATCACACGATAATAAATCACAGTGCATTTAGTGCCAACCACAGCCTTAAGACAAGTGTTGAACGTGTCCAAGTCCATACTTATGAGAGCACCATGTGAGCACCTGTGTGTGTACGCGCGCTTGTTTATGTAAGGTTTCTCTATAGGAGCATCCAACAGAGAGTGTGGGGGACCACAGATCCGCCCCCTAAAGATGCGCAGGAGACGGGGGGAGCTCCAAGTCCCAGAGATCCAGGCGCTGCCCCAGAACACAGGAACCCCAGGGAGACTGTGACCAGAAAAGCCCCCGCCCCCCTCAAGAGGCGCAGAGGATCGCCCCGGGGGGCCACAACCAGCAGCCGGCAGAGTCCCGGGAGATATCAGCGGCAAGCCCACAGACCCACCCGCAGCCTCCCACCCCCTAGCCGACCGAGCCCGGGACCCAGCGACCCGGGACCCAGGAACACAGATATGCTGTTACCACGATGAGACCCACAACGACATCAGGCTTCAGCTCTCACATTAGGTTGTGGTGAGGAGCGGCTTTTCAAAAACACGAGCCTTGATCAGAAAACCTGACGACTCCAGACCAAGCTGGTGCGCTCAGCTGGATTTACTGTGACTCAACAAACACCTGAAGCTGAAGCTACCTGTGTGAGCTGAGTGGGTCTGAACGAAAACATCGGTTTTGTTTCATTTTCATTCATTTTCAATTTTATTTAAAAAGCACGTTCACACACTCACACAACCAAGTGCTAACTAGTACAGAACCCAAACACTAAACTCCCACATGCACTCAAACAGCTACCCTGCCGCCTGTGATGTGGATCAAGTCCTCTGGACAGACGAGCACAAAGGCACAACGATGCGAAATGAATGTGTGAATTAAATGTGTTTGTTTTGTTCTCTACATTCAGCACAGTCATGTCACTAATCAGGGTCATGTTTCTGCTAAATATTCTTACAACAAACACTTCCTGTCAACCAGCCCAGGATAAGGTCTTCTATAATCTGATCTAGCATCTAACCATCATTCTGTCCCTGTCAGTTAAGGAGGATCGCCAAGGTTAAGCGTCTGCTCTCAATCCATGACTTTGAGACGGTGATTCACGAGTTTATTACATCACGCCTAGACTATTGCAACTCACTGCACCTTGGTCTCCCTCAGTCTCACCTCTCCCGTCTTCAAATGGTGCAAAATGCAGCAGCACGCCTGTTGACCGGTTCGGGAAAGCGGGAGCACATTACCCCCATTTTAGCTTCGCTGCACCGGCTGCCTGTGGACTTTAGGGTCCAGTACAAGGTTCTTTTATTGGCTTTTAAAGCTGTACACGGCCTTGCCCCGCAGTATCTGTGTGAACTTTTAGTTGTCCACTCCCCGACTCGGTCACTGAGGTCAGCCAACCAGTTACTCCTGGAGGTGCCGAGAACGAAGAGAAAGCTCGGGTGATGGAGCTTTCTCAGTAGCAGCTCCAAGGTTGTGGAATGTATGTTAATCCAGATTAGGATGGTTTCATCACTGTTGAGTTTTAAAGACTCGTCTGTCCTCAGTTGCTTTTAATTCCTTTTGAGAAGGAATCTGTTTTAGTAGTTTTTATGTCAGTTGGATTTGTTTGTTTCTTGTTATGTTTTTACTTTTGATGAGGAGGGTCCGTCGGATTGTTGAACCTCAGATTCAGGAGGAGCAATGTGGTTCTCGTCCTGGCCGCGGAACACTGGACCAGCTCTATACCCTTAGGGGGATCCTGGAGGGTGCGTGGGAATTTGCCCAACCAGTCTACATGTGTTTTGTGGATTTGGAGAAGGCATTTGTCTGCGGCCCTCGGGGGGCCCTGTGGGGGGTACTCCGGGAGTATGGGGTACCAGGCCCTCTGATACGGACTGTTAGGTCCCTGTATGACCGGTGTCAGAGCTTGGTCCACATGACAAGGCTGCCCTTGTCACCGATTCTGTTCATAACTTTTATGGACAGGATTTCTAGGTGCAGCCAAGGTATTGAAGGGATCCGTTTTGGTGGCCTGAGGATCAGGTCTCTGCTTTTTGCAGATGATGTGGTCGTGTTGGCTTCATCAGAACGTGATCTTCAGCTTTCGCTGGAGCGGTTCGCAGCCGAGTGTGAAGCAGCTGGGATGAGAATCAGCCCCTCTAAATCCGAGACCATGGTCTTGATTCAGAAAAGGGTAGAATGCCTTCTCCGGGTCAGGGATGAGGTCCTGCCCCAAGTGGAGGAGTTTAAGTATCTCGGGGTCTTGTTCACGAGTGAGGGAAAACTGGAGCGTGAGATCGATAGGTGGATTGGTGCTGCATCTGCAGTGATGCGGGCGTTGTACCGGTCTGTCGTGGTGAAGAGAGAGCTGAGTCAGAAGACGAAGCTCTGGATTTACCGGTGGATCTACGTTCCTACCCTCACCTATGGTCACGAGCTTTGGGTAGTGACCGAAAGAACGAAATCGCGGATACAAGCGGCCAAAATGAGTTTCCTCCAAAGAGTGGCTGGGCTCTCCCTTAGAGATAGGGTGAGAAGCTCGGTCATTCGGGAGGGGCTCGGAGTAGACCCGCTGCTCCTCCACATCGAGAGGAGCCAGTTGAGGTGGCTCGGGCATCTGGTCAGGATGCCTCCTGGACGCCTCCCTGGTGAGGTTTTCCGGGCACGTCCAACCGGGAGGAGACCTAAAGGTAGACCCAGGACACGGTGGAGGGACTATGTCTCTCACCT